GCCTCCTGCTGCCGCTGTGTCGCCAGAGCACGATTTCTGTTCTCATTCTGAAGCAAAGTTCTTAACCTGAAGCACTATTTCTGGGTTAGCGGAGTCTGTAACCTGAAGCATATGTAACCCAAGGTACCACTGTATAAGCAAATGCCTGCTATTCAGAAGCCCTGCACTTGGGGGTGGGCGAGAGCAGCATTAACACCGGTCCACCTTCCCTTAATAATAATAATAATAATAAATTTTATTTATATCCCGCCCTCCCCAGCCGAGCCGGGCTCAGGGCGGCTAACAACAGTCAAATAACAATCAAATAATAGCACATTCTAAAAATATTTCGTTATAAAAATTAGTTAAAATCAAATTGATGGCAACCGATTAAACAAAATTCTGTGCAGGTTGCCGGAGGAGGGAGTCAGGCTGCGCCCTGACCAAAAGCTTGGCGGAACAACTCTGTCTTGCAGGCCCTGCGGAAAGATGTCAGATCCCGCAGGGCCCTAGTCTCTTGAGACAGAGCATTCCACCAGGTTGGAACTGCAGCCGAGAAGGCCCTGGCTCTAGTTGAGGCCAGCCTAACCTCTCTGAGGCCTGGGACCTTGAGGGTGTTATTATTTGTAGACCGTAGGTTTCTCTGTGGGGCATACCAGGAGAGGCGGTCCCGTAGGTACGAGGGTCCTAGGCCGTATAGGGCTTTAAAGGTTAAAACCAGCACCTTACTGCAGCGGTGCCCAAACATTTTTCAAATAGGGCCAGATTTGATGAAGTGAGGGCCGACTAAAGTTGTTGACTTTTTTCAATTTTACCCCAGGACATATACTGTTATCTAGCTCAGTAAAGGTATCCCTGACCGTTAGGTCCAGTCGCGGACGACTCTGGGGTTGCACGCTCATCTCGCTCTATAGGCCGAGGGAGCTGGCGTTTGTCCGCAGACAGCTTCCGGGTCATGTGGCCAGCATGACTAAGCTGCTTCTGGCGAACCAGAGCAGTGCACGGAAACGCCGTTTACCTTCCCACCGGAGCGGTACCTATTTATCTACTTGCACTGGCGTGCTTTCAAACTGCTAGGTTGGCAGGAGCTGGGACCGAGCAACGGGAGCTCACCCCATCACAGGGATTCGAACCGCCGACCTTCTGATCGGCAAGGCCAAGAGGCTCAGTGGTTTAGACCACAGCGCCACCCGCGTCCCTTTTAGGATTGAAGTTTACCCCAAAGTTCTTGAGCTTTTTTTAGGATTGAAGTGGTTGAGCTTTTTAACATTTTTACCCCAGGACATATACTGCCACGGATTGGGTCCCTGAAATGTACTTTTGGACATGCCTGCCTTACTCCTATGGGACTGAGCAATATGGGCACCCACACCCAAAGATGTCCCGCATCGGGCCATTTGCTAGTTCTCTGAATTCTGCCTTCTCTTTGCAGCAAGGTATAAATGGATCTGCACACAGACAGCTGCCTGCCTGTGGCATAGCCCAGTCCCAAGAATCTGACCAGCTTAGGTTGTCCCCAAAAATAAATTTTAAAAACAAAACACAAATCATGAACCATCGCTTGAGAGGTGCCACGTCTCGCTGTGCTTAATTGGTAGCATGTGGCACTGCTGACTCGGCACATCCCACATGTTCCGCACCGCGCTTGCCAAGCCGGGGGCAGCCTAGGACAGGGAACATCCTGTGAAAAGGAAAGTGCTCTCCGGCCCAGAGCAGCGCTAGGATTTTGCCATCTGCTGGAGCAGAGATTCGCCGTCTGTGTGTCCCAGCAGTGGGTTTTAAGCTAGTGATTTTTCAGAGGCTTCTGTGTGTTTGGGGTTTTGAACTGTACCTTTGAGGGATGTGGCAGAAAAGCAGGGGACTGGGACAAATGGATCCCATTCATTCATTCATTCATTCATTCATTCATTCATTCATTCATAGAATTCAGCCCTCCTCACTCCACACAGGCATTGCTTCTTAGACTGTGCTGGAGCATAAGTTTACATTGCAGTGACCAGCAAAGCCTTTAACCTCTCCGGACTACCTGTTGCAAGTCTTTACCTGAAGGAGCGTCTCCTCCCCCATCATTCAGCCAGGATGCTGAGGTCCAGCTCCAGCTCCAAGGTCCTCAGTGTCCCTCAGACACCAAGAATTGAGGTCACAGGGTACCAGGCAGAGGGCCTTCTCGGTAGTGGCACCCGCCCTGTGGAACGCCCTCCCACCAGATGTCAAGGAAATAAACAACTATCTGACTTTTAGAAGATATCTGAAGGCAGCCCTGTTTAGAGAAGTTCTTAATGTTTGATGTTTTATCGTGTTTTTAATATTCTTTTAGGGACGCGGGTGGCGCTGTGGGTTAAACCTCAGTGCCTAGGACTTGCCGATCGTATGGTCAGCGGTTCGAATCCCTGCGGCGGGGTGAGCTCCCGTCTTTTGGTCCCAGCTCCTGCCCACCTAGCAGTTCGAAAGCACCCTTAAGTGCAAGTAGATAAATAGGTACTGCTTTATAGCGGGAAGGTAAACGCCGTTTCCGTGTGCTGCGCTGGTGCTGGCTCGCCAGAGCAGCTTCGTCACGCTGGCCACGTGACCCGGAAGTGTCTCTGGACATCGCTGGCTCCTGGCCTCTTAAGTGAGATGAGTGCGCAACCCTAGAGTCGGACCTTTACCTAATATTCTTTTGGGAGCCGCCCAAAATATTATTATTATTTATTTATTTCAGATGAGAGCAGAGTCAGTTTCAGGTCTGCTCCCAGACTACAGATTGGGCACAACATATCTGTTAATCTGCTTGATGAGTTAATAGCATATGAATTTGAGGATTAAAAAATTAATCATCCACTTCAGTTTTTCTTGCACAAATCTGGCGTCCTCAGTATGTTTATTTTGTTTATTAAATTAGCATCCTGCCCTTTCCAAGGAGCCCCCAAAGCATCTGTGATTTAAAAAAAATACAATGAAAAGAAAACACGACCTATTGTAAAAAGTGAAACACCTAAAAACAATCAAACATTTAAAGCGGTTTAAAAACAGATGTAACCGAATCCCATTTCTGGATAGGCCCACTGGAAAAGACCATTTTTCAGCAGGCGTCTAATAGAGCTTGGTGTCAAGTGGCAGGGAGTTCCGAAGAGCAAGGGCTGCCATCTGCGTACCAGGGAAACCAGTCCTGCCACTTTGCAGCAGAATTTGGCAGTGGGCAGCGCTGATTGGCTAGTCCATGAGACATCACAAACCCACTCACCACCCAAGAGCAATTTTATGACACTTAAAATTAACTTTCCTTGTTTGTTTTCTTTTAAAAAAGAATGTTTAAATGAATAAATGGTCGTGTAGGGCTTTTTTAAAAAAAGAACACAATGAAAACAGGCAGGCAGCTTTGCAGGGTACAGACTGACAACAGCCAGCATTAAAACTGTTGTTCTGTACATCTGCCTCCCTGCTAATTTTATAAGTATGCTTGAGTGCTCTCAGTGGGTCAAACTGCCGGTTACGTTCCACGAGTTATCAAGCATTTTCTTAGAATTTTGCTCTTTTACCTTTTCTGGCCACATGATGGCAGCGGAGCGAAAGAAGATGATGCTTTTCTCTTCTGCCAATTGCGCCCATCTCTTAAGAAAGAGTTTATGGCTGAAACAAACCAGCCGTCCATGCAGGTTTATATAGAATCTTAGCTGCCCGATGTGATTGTGAGGCAATATATTATGTGAGGCTACAATGGGATGTGAGGCTGCTTTGGAGGGTAGGACTCGAACCCAATGCCTTCAATGTGCAAGAAAGGACTGAACCTCGGGAAGAACTTCCTGACAGTAAGAGCTACTCGGCAGCGGAGGTTTCTTAAGCAGAAGTTGGGTGGCCATCTGTCATGGATGCTTTAGCTGGGATTCCTGAATTGCAGGGGGTTGGACTAGATGACCACTGGTGTCCCTTCCAACTCTACAATTCTATGATTCTAGGCCTTATTCCATGCCCTCCCTGAGTGCCATTGCCTAGCTGGAAAGTATCCTATGATGATACCTTGATTGATGGGTGTAGAGAGGTGTGAATGACTATTATTTTGAATATGAATATTATTGATTTGTGTAGCCAAAGCCAGTACAGCGGTACCTCAGGTTACAGACTCCACTAACCCAGAAATAGTACCTCGGGTTAAGAACTTTACCTCAGGATGGGAACAGAAATTGCGCGGCGGCAGCGGGAGGCCCCATTAGCTAAAGTGGTACCTCAGGTTAAGAACAGTTTCAGGTTAAGAACGGACGTCCAGAACGAATTAAATTCTTAACCTGAGGTACCACTGTAAGAGCGTTGGGTGGGTGTAGAGACCCCTCTGGCTTCTGCATGTTTTTAATGTATCCTAGTACAGAGAGCTGGCAACTTCATCAATTGCTTCACCCCGTATCCCAAAGGTAGCCCACCCCCGAAGGGAGTGCGGTCCTGGGACTGCAAAATAAAAATAAAAAATGCCCTTGCAGTAGTCTCTGAAGGCTACCAGGAACCAGTAGGGAGTGGGAAGTGGTTTGCATTGTGGGAGAAAGAGTTGAGGGTGGACCATTACTTCCTTACCTTGAAAGAAGTCACTTCCTCTCTTCCAAAATGGCTTTGCCAGGCGCAAGGGTGCCACTTTTCTAAAGAGATCCACAGAAGGCAGACTTTCTCCAGGATTTCTCTCAGTGATGGAGAAGCCAGACCTTCTCTGCATCCTGAGCTCCCATGCGCTTCAATTTGCACCAGATTTATGGCACGTACATGCCGTAGATTGAAGGCACATGACTCCCCTCCCCCAATAATCCTGGGAACCGCAGTTTGTTAAAGGTGCTGTATCTGGGGGGAAACTACAGTTCCCAGAATTATTCCGAGAAAGCCATGTGCTTTCCATGTGCGATGTGCATGGAGCCTAATTGATTGACTGGACTGAAACAGAGATGTCGAAAGCAAGGCTGTCTTTTAAAGAAATAACTGGAGCTTATTCGCGAGAAATAACGGGACAGGCATGTTTCAGTGTGGGCCCTCGCAAAAATGGCAGTGTGTGGTTTCTCTGGCAGCAAAGAGACCTTTCTGTGGAGAGAGAGAGAGGCAGAGAGAGAGATAACCCCGGTTGATGCAGCGTGTTGGCTACTAAGGAACTGAAGATGAGAAGGTGCTTCGAAGGTGTCGGGCTGCAATGCTTTCTTAAGGTGAGCACGAATCTCCGCAAATGGGCTGCATCTGCTGCAGGGAACCAGGATCTCAAAAGCCTGGATGTCGCCATTGCACGGAGGGCTGCAAGCCAACCTGTGCCTCCATTGCTGGAAGGCAGGGCGAAGCGAGCTCCTTTCTCCAGGGTTGGCCCTGGTAGCAGCAGGGCCTCTGGAGGTGTGTGTGTGTTTGTGTGGAGGGGGGGTAGCTTGGACTTCAGCGGCGAAAACGCCTTGGTCCGACTCTGGCAGAAGATGCCTCTGTCTGTTAGCTTAACCACTTTGCCTCTACCGCCCGCAACCTCTAGGCCACGCCTCCGTCTCTTCATTGGCTGGCATTCCTCATTTCTGATTGGCGGGCAGGATCTATATAAAGTAGTGCGATGGCAGAGCAAAGCGCGCAGGTAAGTCGATGAGGTAGGAGAAGTGAGGCTGGAGAGATGGTGTGGGAGGGGGTCAGTCAGTCAGGTGGGGCTCAGAGGCTCCACCACCTTGACACCAGGAAAGATGTGTTGACTCTGCTAGGGGTTTCAAAGCTCTGTGGGGACTAAAACCCTACCATCGTCATTTCTTTGATTTTCACTGAGTTCTAAAAACTCAGTGAAAATCCAGATGGTGATAACTTCTACTGAATTCCAGGAAATCCAGTATTGAGCTGCCTTACACAGATCCTCACCCAACACAAAGATCCCCACACAGATTAAAGCCATCTTTCCACCCACCTCAAGTATATTCTCCAGTTTCCCAGCCTCACATCGGTTGTCCTTTTGGGGCACTAGCATGCAGGTTTCAAGGGCAAGTAATCGTCTTGCTTGCTAAGGAGCCGCGGCCTGGATTAAGATGGACGCAAACCTCTGATCCCCTTTACTTGCAGGCTAAGCCTCTTAACGGTCAGAGTTGAAGATAACATGAGGGAAAAGATTATGGCTGGGAAGATATGCTCAAAGAGGCAACCGGGCTGTAGCGATTTCATCTAAGTAGCTGACTCGGCAGGCCTGTGGGCCCAGTTTTCTTCCCCACTCAAATTTTTACGCTTTTTCCATACCGGAGTTTCCATTGGGAAATGAAAGGTGACTCGCTGGTAGTCGGAGACATTGAATGTACAAGGCAGGGGGAGATTTAAAAAACCCTGCCCATGGCTAGGGGTTGCCGCTGGGTACTTAAAATTCAGTGGAACCAGTGTTCGAAATTAGCTAGGAGCCAGGCGCATTTTGCAGCTGGCTTTTGACCACTTGCGATCAGGTGAAGGCGCCCGGGCACCAGGATAGCATCTGACATCTCCACCCTCTGGGGATCATTGGTTCTAGACTTTTTTCACACACTTAATACCCCATCCCATAGAATGCGATCAGTTATATCGCACAATCAGAATGAATTTCAGGAACCAAAATGCTTTTTCTGTGCAGCCTGAGCAAGAGCAGTCGCCATTAAGGAAAAGACGTCAGGATAGGCCAATCTATGTTTTAGACTGTCCCTGTAATCCGGTGACTTTTCTTCTTGTAAGTTCTCCAAGTTCTTAACCTAACTCAAGGTTGTCATCTGAACTAGCCAGAGGTTTAACTGATAATTAGTCACAGTCAGCCCATATTTTGAAAAATAAAGACTTTAGAGCCATATTGCCCCAAAATGGCAACCAGACTTTCTGTTTTGGCGACTGCAACCTTGGTTTAAGGAGCCATTTGGCGCCTAGATTACATATCTGAGTTTCTAACATTGAGTAGAACACATCCCCTCAGGTGGTGGATTCTCCTTTCTTGGAGGTGCTTTGAACGTACTACTGTGTCCGTTTGCTGTAACGAATGAAAGCCACAGGACTCCGCGTAATGGATCTCGCCTCTGTTCTTGCTGCAGGACAGGGCTATGGCCGTAACGCAGGACCAGAAATACCTCCTCATCTTCGACTTCGATGAGACCATCGTGAACGAAAACAGCGACGAGTCCATCCTCCAGGCCGCTCCGGGGAAGCAGCTCCCGGAGTCGATCCGAAGCACGTACCGCGAGGGTTTCTACAACGAGTACATGCAGCGGGTCCTGCAGTACATGTGCGACCAAGGAGTCAAGATGGCCGACTTCAAAGCAGCCTACGAAAGGATCCCGCTCTCCCCTGGCATGGGCGACCTCTTCCAGCTCCTCTTCAAGCAGCAAGACCACTTCGAGATCATCCTCATCTCCGACGCCAACATGTTTGGCATCGAGTGCGCCTTGAAGGCGGCCGGGGCCTATCCCCTCTTCCGTAAGATCTTCAGCAACCCCTCGAGCTTTGACAAGAGAGGCTACTTCACCTTGGGCCCTTACCACTCGCACAACTGCAAGCGTTGCCCGGCCAACATGTGTAAGCACAAGATCCTGACAGAATACCTGGCAGAGAGGGCACAGGAAGGGGCCAGGTTCGACCGCGTCTTCTACGTCGGGGATGGAGCCAATGACTTCTGCCCTTCCACCGCGCTAAAGTCGAGCGACGTCGCCTTCCCTAGGAAAGGCTACCCCATGCACCAGCTCATCCAGGAGACTGGGAAAAGCCAGCCTGGGACTTACCAGGCCACGGTCGTCCCCTGGGACTCTGCCGTAGAGATTTCTCGTCACCTTCAAGAAGTTCTCAAGAAGAAATGTTGAGGGCGGGGGAGACCTTTGGCGGGAGGAAACAGCTGCTCTCGTTTGGAAAGATCTGAACGATTATAGCATCACGGCTCTCTCACGCTTGGCTTAAGGCTCTATCTCGCTCTCTCTGGGCTTTCTCCACCTCAAAATCTCTTGTCTCTGGGTCTCCCCTTCCTTCAGCCGAGAGATAAGGGCTCACTATGCAGTTAGGAAATCCATTAAAGGAAGGGTGGGTGGATGACAGGCCACTTTAAATATTTTTGATTGCCTTTTTGGAAAGCAAAAGCAAAACACTTTTGCATTTGCTAAACCCACGCATCTCGTTTCGCTCGGGCTGGTTCTCAGTAGCGCTCTTAGCGCATGGGGAAATTCTGTCGCTACCAAAGCATTTCGACTGCTCACGGGTGTTAATATAGCTCTTCTCCCCTTCCCTTAACAAACACCCTTTTAAAAAAAAATTACATTTCCAGATCATATTCCATCTAACAGGATGTCAGAATTGTCTTTAATTGTTTATCTAAATTGGGGGGGGGGCACCTGGCATCTCCAGAAAGGAATGGGAGAGCCAGAAAAATTACCCCAGCTGCATCTTCTGATTGGACTTGATGATTCCTGGCATCATTTCTCATCTTATGGCTGAGATGAGCCACTTTGGTCGGGGATGGAGAACCTACAGCCTCTGGATATTTGCTGAACTACAACTCCCATAATCCCCGACCATTCGCAATGCTGGCTGGGGCTGATAGGAGCTGTGGTCCAACAACAACTGAAGGACTATAGCTTCATCCCCACTCCATGACTTTGGCCGAGCACATCGGGAACAAAAAGGGAAAGCACTTTTGCTGCAGCAGCCTATGAATGGTGTTTTCTACTCTCCCCTTCCTTGCCTGGCAAGACAACCTCTTCAAGGAGTACAGTATTCCTGCTGCTCAGAAAAGGCTGGTGTCTAAAATGAAGGGGGAATGAACAGGATTGGGAGGCCTGTAGGTTGCAATGAATAGCAAAACAAGCAAAGAGTCCAGTGTGTTGAGAACTGAATGGGTCGGAAGAAGAAGCCAGTCAGGGACGGTGTGCACTTGAGTTACAGAGTGGGCAAATGAGGACAAGCAAAGATACATTTGAGGCGCCATTTTTCTCTAAGGGTGCATCATCCTGGTAAGCACCCAAGTTGTGCTCCCGTTGCACATTTTGGCTCTTGCTGGCCTGGGTTTCACCTTTGGGCATTTTCCCATTCCTACACAGCTCTTTTCCTTGCAGATTCAGGCTGGGTTTTTCTATTCCCCATATGCTGAATTTGTCAGTTTGCAGCAGCCACGTCCTCCCAAACGAATGGCGGATTGGAGGCAGGGGTTGCGGAGTAGAAACGGATTGTTTGGCAAGGTGGGAAATCCACGTGGAGTTGGGTCTTGTGCTACAAATGCATCATTTTAAAGAAAAAGGTGGCTCTTTCTGCTACATCTATATGATGTTTTTTGTACCCACTTACCCACTAATACATCAGCTCCCTCGGCCAGTAAAGCGAGATGAGCGTTGCAACCCCAGATTCGGCCACGACTTGACCTAATGGTCAGGGGTCCCTTTACTTTTTTACCCACTAATGACTTACTCACAAAGAACCCTGAGCATGGTAATTTGATAAGGGTGTTGACATTCTCTCTTCAATATTCATGGATGCCTTTGCAGAACTGCATTCCCCTAGGAACATGAACATTTATGGAGGGTGGGGGATGTTCTTTCCACAGATGAACCATAATTTCCCATTCTCTAGCCTTCATTTTTTTAAAAAAGAGCAAGTATTTAGCATTTGTAGAACCTGAGATACGAGGCAAAAATGCACATCTACTATTCTTACTTTTTTGGTGAGAACCGAGCCTGCTTCTTCCACCCCTGGAAAAATTGCTTGAGAACCCCATGCCTGGGAAGAAATCACATCTATTCAATCAATAGCTACGAAGACTTTAGCAATGGGGGGAAAACAGGTACCGGACAAAGTTTGGAAAAAGGGACCGTGCAAAACTTTTAATCTGAGCAAAGCCTGTATCTTTCTAAGATACATGCCACTGCCGCAGAAATCCCAAGGGTGTGCTTAACGTAAACAATAAGTGATGGTCCATGAGATCATACGTGGGTCATACGGTCCTATGTGGATTGTGTGTCCTGCCCTTGTGTGCAATGATCATCAACAGATTGCTTCGAGAGACACTTCTGTGAGTGCAACCCAAGACCTGCCAGATTCTTCTCTATTTATGATATTTCTATTGCAGCCTTAAATTTCCCTCTCCCATGCTGCTTTCCCTGAAACCAGCAAGATGTTCTTGTCCTTACGCTTGCCGCCTGCTCATCCACCGCAGATTGCACAACCAACCCATTTGTCAGTCTGCCTTGCTTCGCCTTCGCCTGCTCCTTAATTCTGTTTCCTCTGCAAACCTGCTTTGTTGTCAACAACTCCCTCCCTTTCCTCCTCTGGTCTGTCAATGCTTGTTGGAACTTAAAAGCCATGGAAACTCTTTTTGTAAGCGTGCAAAAAAAGAAACAATTAGCAAACAATTTCGATTTATTTTGTCTTGCGTACACTTCAACAATAACTGCATGCTCTGTGACTACATTTCCAAGTATCCAAAACGCCCTGTAGACTATTAATTTTGTTTTTTGTTTTGTCCTGCAATGTTGAATGTATGAATCTCTCTACTTGAGACCCTGGCAAGCATATTGAGGAGAGGGGGATATCCTTCCCTCCTGGGGAGTTGCCCTTTCTGTCCTAAACCAATCTCCCTATACAGTGGAACCTTGGTTCTCAAGAGGCTTAGTTGATGAACAAATTGGCTCCTGAACGTCAAAACCCTTGGAAGTAAGTGTTCCGGTTTTTAATGTTTTTCAGAAGCCGAAAGTCCGACGCAGCTTCCGCTTCAGTGCAGGAAGCTCCTGCAGCCAATTGGAAGCCATGCCTTGGTTTTCAAACATTTCGGGTGTTGAACAGATTTCCAGAATGGATTAAGTTTGAGAACCAAGGTACCACTGTATCCGTTGGCCTGTAGGGTGAAGCCACTTCTAGTTTGCAATGAATGGTTTCTAAGCCATCTTTTCGACTGTATACCTCCCTCTTAATGTGCTTCCCTCCCTTCTCCAAGAAGAAAAGAAGAACTGAAGACCAGAGAAAATGGAACCATTCTCAGGCAGCTGCCCACCCATCCTTTCCAGGACTGCTGGCAACTCCCAAGAGTCCTCACCACCTTGGCTGCGTTGCCTGAAGCTGATGGTACCTGGAGCCCAACATCACCTGTCTTAGCTGTTTACTCTGGCTCCAGTGTGCTCCCACTGCTAGCGTACACATGACGTTGGCCACACAAGTCACCTGTATGCTGTAGTTTCTTGAGAAATGCTGCTGTTTGGTGACATATCCCCTCAAACTGGTTCGCATCCCATTTGAAAACATAAGCCACGTCCCCTTCACCATGAAGCTGAGGTGTGTACATTTGGGACTGCCATTGCACATGCTCAGATGTCAAGATTCATGAATAGAGAGTTGTTGGGGGAGGTTGCATGGGGGGAACAAACAGGTAACGTGCAGCTAGTGAAGACCATCGACACCCCACCCCCCAGCTGTGTACACACAATGTGCAAATATAGCTTGAAATGGGGAGAAGGAGGAAGAAACAACCTCACTGTGTTTGAAGCCACTGATGCGCACATAACCTTAACCAGCATTTTAAGCCACTTCTATATTTCCAGCCCTTCAGTTCCTCTCTTCATTCTCAGGCCCACAGCTTCCTTTTAATGGCATTGGTGGTTAAGTCATACATATTCTTGTCTCGTCACGTCAACAGATATTCATCCCTGTCCACAACGCCTTTTTAACCACAGCGCGTGCGAAAAGCACAATTGCTAGGCCCTTCACAGCCCAGACCCTTAGAACCAGCTCCCCCTCCTCCTGTGAAGGCCTAGGACTACGCAACATGGCACCCTTCAGATGTTGCTCAACTGCATCTCCCAGCATCCTTTGCCCCAGAACCTGGCCCACCCATGAGGCAAGCTGAAGCAGCTGCCTCAGGCAGCGGAAGCCTCAAAGGCAGTCCCTGCACTGCCTCCACCACAACCCAGGTAAGGGAGGCTGAGGTGGGGCAGGACTGCACTTTCTCATTTTGGCGAAAGGGGGCAAACTGCTTCTGCCTTGCCCCCGCTGACTGGGGCTGATGGGAGTTCCAACACCTGCAGTGCCCTTAGTTCTCTGTCTCTGCATTAATGGGTGTCAGGAGTGATGGACAAACCGCTCTGATGATCCATAAGCTGCAGTCAACATGGACTCTGTCAGGGAGCTGACAGGCAGAGCAGGTCATTTGCAGGTCTCAGAGAGAGAGAGAGACGCGCTTGGTGAATGTGCAGTTAGTTTCTTAAGGAAAAGAAAGCACAGAGATTACTAAAGGTTGCCCCTGTATTAATGAAGCAGTTGTTCAGATGGGCTTGTAGCCCCTCCTATACTCCCTAGCCCACTGTCAGGCCCCTCTCGCTGTGATCTTTGGCTACGGTGAGCTCCAATGGACTCCCTTTGTGTCTGCCTGGCTCGCCACTCGCTTGGCAACATGCAATAAACCAGGCATAGGCAAACTCGGCCCTCCAGGTGTTTTGGGACTACAACTCCCATCATCCCTAGCTAACAGGACCAGTGTTCAGGGATGATGGGAATTGTAGTTCCAAAGCATCTGGAGGGCCGAGTTTGCCTATGCCTGCAATAAACATCACGTTCTAGGATTGTGGGGGGGAGGGTTTGAAAGCTTTCAGCAAAGAAGCTGTCAGAATGGCCCCAAGGGAGAACTGCAAGGTCCGCCTCCCCTCTGTCATCGCTGTTGGTGCCTACATCCAAAATGGAAAACTACTCGCTCTTTCCGGTCTCTTCGCTATCCCTCAAGCACCCTGTTTCTAGCACTTCCAACTTGTCCCCTCCTCAGGTGTGTCCCGTGTCCCACTACCAGGCCCAGGTTCAAAATCCTCTTCTTTTGCGCCTTCCCTGGGGAGCTCTTGATTGGGCAGATTCCACCATTCTTTCTCATCCAACCACTCCCTGGCAGACATTTGGGTGCACAAATGCCACCCAACATCTCAAATGGGAATGACAGAAATTCAATGTTCACTACTGGAAGAGAATGTTTGTTTTGCGAGTATCTAGTCAAGTAGCTTCTACCTTCCCTCTAGAGCAGCCTTTCTCAACCTGTGGGTCCCCAGATGTTGTTGGACTACAACTCCCATCATCCCTGAGCTCTGGCCTTGCTAGCTAGGGTGATGGGAGTTGTAGTCCAACAACATCTGGGGACCCACAGGTTGAGAAAGGCTGCTCTAGAATCTAAACCAGGAGTCAGCCACAAGCGACCCACAGGGTCGTTTAACCAGCCCACGAGCCACCCCCGAACCAAGCCGCCCACTCAGTGAGTCCCTGCGCTCTGCACTAAACTGGCACAGCACGGCGCAGGGACTTGCTTTCGCGGCGCCGGAAATAGCATCTGTGCAGACACAGACACTGGAAATCGTGCAATCTGGCCCACAGAGGGGTCTCCGCTGGAGTGAACCAGCCCAGGCAAGGTAAACCTTGCCGACCCCTGGTCTAGACCATGAAATCCAAAGAGCGCCACCAGCTGGCAGGAGCAGGGCAGCGCAACGTACCTAGCCTCCTCCAAAGCACTTTGCAGATGCTTTTCTCAATGCAGGGAGCTAAGCTTTCATTCATTTATGCTGTATTCCCCCCCCCCATGCCCAACCTTTCCGTTGAACGTATATTACAGAACTGGCTTTAAAATCAATTAAAATAACAGCAGTATAACAATGACGCTATGGAAATATAAGATTATCCACACATGGGATACTCAGGGCAGGCAGAGTGGATGCATCACAGTGTTACACTAAAACTGAGACGGTGTTAAGTGATGGTGTTGATGACGATGAGGCAATCGTTGCTTCGGAAACAGCTGCTGCGGGTTGCAATCCTGTACGTGTCAAATCGGAACTCGGCCCCTTGGCGTTCAACAGGACAATCTCCCGCCTAAGTGTGTATAGGATTGCACACACTTAGCACAGCTGTTGCACAGGCTTTGTAGAGGAGGAGAAGAGAGAGGAACCACAGCAGATATTTAACCCGACATCTCTGCATTCCAATCAATTGAGGTGATGAGGATGCTCTGATATTCTTAAATGCCCCCCTCCTAGCTATTACTTCAGCCTGGCTAGCATGAAGTGGGGTGGGAGGGAAATATGGCTGTTGATATGCCAACACACCAACTTCCACCCAAGTTTCCTTCTATGAGACCAAGAACAGAGTAGTCAGTCTTCACCAGATCTCACATTTTAAGTATCTGCATTTTTAAAAAATTATAATAATCTCCAGCATCCGTTCTGCTTCCTTCATGGAAAAGGCTCCACATAGTTCCCTGGGAACAATCCCTTTGCATCACTTGTCACCCCCTCACACCAGCCATCTGAGTATCTTCGTGTCACGTAAATAACAGTCCCCTCTGCGAACGAGAGTTCTTGTTCCTGCTGCTGAGTATAAGGGTAGAGGGTCACCACTGAAGGCAAAGGGGAAGAGAAGGGGGAAAGGAGGTCAGCAATGAAAAGCAAAAAAAATCACCAGTCCCGAAACGCATTTACGGAAGGAAGGGAACCTGGGAATGGCAATTTGGGGATCATCCGGTCAATAGGATACATGTCACCCATGGCATTCACTGAATGGCATAAACAGCAGAGGCTTGGTGCTGTTGAGGATGGCGGGTGGAAAGCAAAAGGCCAGTCCACTGGGAAGTTCTGCCGTGGCCCTGTGCAAATTAACAGGAGCTCCACGAGAAAACTAATCAGATAGATGGATAGGTGTTTCTCAATGGGGCTCACGCATTAGAGCTTCCCAGCAGACCTGTTAGTACAGTCGTACCTCGGAAGTCAAACAGAATCCATTCTGGAAGTCTGTTTGACTTCCGAAACATTTGGAAACCGCAGAAGCCCCGTCAGACGTTCGGCTTCCAAAAGAACATTCGAAAACCAGAACACTGACTTCCGCTTTACGATTGTTTAGGAGCTGGAATGTTGGACTCCCAAGGCATTCAGGAGCCGAGGTACGACAGTATATACAAGTTGGATTTTAAACCTCGGGGACTCAAATGTCTTTGTACAGCCCCAATATAAAGGTAAAGGTAAAGGACCCCTGACAGTTAAGTCCAGTCACAAACGACTCTGGGGTTGCAGCACTCATCTTGCTTTGTTGTCCGTTTACCTTCCCACCAGAGTGGTACCTATTTATCTACTTGCACTTTAACGTGCTTTCGAACTGCTAGGTTGGCAGGAGCTAGGACCGAGCAACAGGAGCTCACCCTGTCGCAGGGATTCGAACCGCTGACCTTCCGATCGGCAAGCCCTAGGCTCAGTGGCTTAGACCACAGCGCCACCCGCGTCCCCTATTTAGAAAGCCCCAATATAGGGCTTTCTAAACAGAAATGCAGATTGAAAAGGAACAGAGGAGAAATCCACTGCAGTGGTAAGCAGAGAAGCACAACATTTGTGCAGAACAGAGAAAATGCAGGCAAATAAAGAGTCTTGCAGAATTGCACAGTTCTCATTGCGGAACAGGGCTGGATGATATATCAATACATGGTCCAAAACCGGTTTGAAATCCATATTAAGATATCAGTTTCATAGTTTTTGACCTGACAATATTACGAATCATGATGTCTGTGCTATGCAAAAAAATCACAATGCGGGGGAAACCCTGAAGCCAGTCAATGCCTCTACACAGTTCCATCCTTATTTCAGACATTGTGATATATCAGTATATCACAATGTTTAGCTGGTGATAATGTAGAAAACCAGATTTTGCCCAGCCCTACTGCTGAATAGGTCAAAGGCTAGTCAAACACCTGGGATTACAGGTAAGTGTATGCACAGCAGATGGTTTCAGGTGGTTTAGACCCCCAAACATATCAGTGCTCATTGTCAGAATGCGAACCGAATGCCCTGGTAGCCGACTCCAGGAGTTGTCTTATATTTAGCAAGGTACCTTTTTCCAGATAGGTGTCGGGGGCCCATGGCAATTTCTCTGGGGGTGGCGGAGGGGGAAGGAGCGGAGGCACCAGCTGCTCCAAATTAGAGGCGTCCAACGGTGGAGGGGTCATTGGAAAATCAAGGTCTGCAAGCAAACACACACATACACTACTGACTCTTTCACAAACAAAGAAAATAAAAAATGTGTTCCTGTGTGCTTGGCCTTCCATGCCTGCTTGCCATAATGAGGATAGAAGTGCACTGAAACGGCATCACACTCACTCAGAGGAATATGCTTAGTGAAGTGAAGTGTAGGTGGGTTCCCACGAGGCAAGACATAGCGATAACGGCAAGAACCTTTTATTGAACTACATAACTGGGAAACAGGGGCAAAGCAACTGCTTATATACATTCCTGAAAGCCTGGGCCACTCCCACTCCCAACGCGATTGGCTGTCTAAACTTCAAAGCCGCGAATCACGACTCAAGAGTTCAAGGGCCAATGGCAGAGGCCCAAATCCTGAAATGTTCTTTGACTGGACATCGTGTATCCAATCAGAACACAGGAGCTCAGAATCCTTAGTCCAGGCTCAAGCTCAGGCAAACATAGACCACTGAATACATAACATTTAGCATTTCAGGTCACACCGTGACCAACCAAAGGACTCTGGGAAGCAGAACAGGGATGCAATCGGACTCCTCTATTCATTTCCCCCGGCAACTACTGCCTCTGCCTGAACTCAGGGTGTCCTGGAAAGTGTACTCAGCTATGTGGGTTCTGAAGCCAATTCCACAGGCCTGCACTTGTGGGGTATATAAAGCCAGGCATGCAACTACCCCAGCTAATTTTGAGTTCAGTTTTGTTCTGGCTTTGAAAAAGAAGGAGGAGGCAGCCTTACCTGGGGTGACATCGCTGACTGCAAAAGGTGGCGGCGGTGGCAACAGATCTTCTGGAAGAGGAGGAGGAAGAACATCACTTGCCTCTGCCGGTGGAGGAAAAGGCGAGAGCGTAGGCGGTGGAGGTGGTTCAGTAGATGCGATCATACCAGTCTTCTCCATAGCTTCTGTGGGGCTGCAGTGACATTCAAAGGAGGAAGATTTAGGTGAATTTAAGGTACACTGCCCCTGGGCAGGGATTGGGAACCTTTTGGCCTTGTGGATGTTGTCGGACTACAGCTCCCATCATCACTGATCATTGCCCATGCTGGTTGGGGCTGATGGGAGTTGGAGTCCAACAACATCTGGAAGCCCCAGGTCCTTTCCTAGTGGAGGGTCAGCACAGAAGACGCCTGAGCTGATGATACAAGAAGGAAAGACCATTTCTTGACGCTAGAGAGGGGAGGCTGAGCTAGATGCTTTCACCCTGCTGGGCTCAGGTGGATCTTTACTTTCGTTGCTGCACTGTAGATGTTGCAATGGGGGATGTTTCAAAATGGCACGCCCCATCCCAGCAGTCTCAGATGGTTCAGCTGCAGGCTTCCATTGCCTTATGTTGTGGAGCAGGATTAAGAGCGTCATTTTGTGGAGCCCAAAGAAAGCTAAGAAGGTCTGAGATGCAAGTCATTTCACCATCTGTTGTCTGGAGCCATGGCTGAGCAGTAGAGCATCGTGCTTTGCACACCAAAGGTCCCTGGTTCAATCCCCAGGCAGGACTCCCAGCTTTAAAAACCTAGAAAGCTGCAACCAGCCAGTGTAGACAAATACTAAGCTCGGTGGACCAGTGATGCAGCTAAGTATAAGACAGCTTGCTTGCCTTGGAAGGAAACAAGCTGGTGAGAAGCCCAAATCTGTAGCTGCCCTCCCCTGAGCTGAGAGGAGCAGGTTGGAATAGGAGCTAGGTTCCAAGTTCCCAGCTCTGAACTCCGTAGAACCTGTAGAGATGGAAGGGACACCAAGGGCCATCTAGTCCAACCCCCTGAAATGCAGGAATCCTGCCCACTCCCGTCCCTGTGTGGGCTCAAACCACCAACCTTCTAGTTCACAGCCACACACCAACCAGGGTTAGGGTGCTCACTTGGGCATCACCCAAAGAGAGAGAGAGCATAACATTTGCTAATTTATATGCTTTTAGAGAAACAGTTCGTTTAAAATACTGTGGTACCTCGGGTTAAGTACTTAATTCATTCCAGAGGTCCGTTCTTAACCTGAAACTGTTCTTAACCTGAAGCACCACTTTAGCTAATGGGGCCTCCAGCTGCTGCTGCACCGCTGCTGCGTGATTTCTGTTCTCATCCTGAAGCAAAGTTCTTAACCTGAAGCACTATTTCTGGGTTAGCGGAGTCTGTAACCTGAAGCGTATATAACCCGAGGTACCACTGTAGAAAGGCAACAGATCTCGCCGAAGACCCCTTGGAACAGGAAGTTATCTTCATTTTCCATAGAAAAGTAGCCACCAGTTTTCTCCCTAAGTTTGTCTTTGCCACCCACACCCTGTCTCCTTTTGTGCTGAAATATAATCTCACAAACGGTACCTCAGTGATGACAAAGATGAAGCAGATGAGGAGGGTTTGCCCTCTGGGACAACTGGTGGCCGTATTGGCTCTGGAATCCGTTGACTTCTCCTAAAAAAACAACAAAAAAAAGTTTGAGTTGAATGTTTATCTTGATCTTCCTCTCATATCTACTTTGCTTTGGCTTATGAAGCATGTTGTCCAATCAGTGGACCTCCTTCTCTGCCAGCAGACAGGTTAGGATTGCAGACAAAACCTGGCACAGGCTTCCTCAACCTCAGCCCTCCAGATGTTTTGAGACTACAGTTCCCATTATCCCTGACCACTGGTCCTGCTAGCTAGGGGTCATGGGAGTTGTAGGCCAAAAACATCTAGAGGGCTGAGGTTGAGGAAGCCTGCTTTAGATGTTTTGGACTACAAGGCCCATCAGCCCCAGCCGACTGATTGGGGTTGATGGGAGTTGTAGTCCAAAACAGCTGGACTGCAAAACACCTAATGGAAAGAGTTTCGGTTCCAGTTGTGTTGGGAAGAGGAGGAAGGCAATAGTGAAGGTGTTATGTTACTAAGCTTGGATCCTAGAACAATAGGCAAGTAGGATCGTAGAATGCTACAACTGATTGGCCTGTAGGAAAAGACCAATCAGGCTCCAGGAGGAAATTAATCAGCCTATTAGGCTGGTAAAAGGTACCCCTGCCCGTACGGGCCAGTCGTGTCCGACTCTAGGGTTGTGCGCCCATCTCACTTAAGAGGCCGGGGGCCAGCGCTGTCCGGAGACACTTCCGGGTCACGTGGCCAGCGTGACGAAGCTGCTCTGGCGAGCCGGCACCAGCGCAGCACACGGAAACGCCGTTTACCTTCCCGCTATAAAGCAGTACCTATTTATCTACTTGCTTTCGAACTGCTGGGTGGGCAGGAGCTGGGACCGAAAGACGGGAGCTCACCCCGCCGCGGGGATTCGAACCGCTGACCATGCGATTGGCAAGCCCTAGGCACTGAGGTTTTACCCACAGCGCAACCCGCGTCCCTATTAGGCTGGGAGGATCGTAGAATGCAACAACTGATTGGCCTGCAGGAAAAGACCAATCAGGCTCCAGGAGGGAAGCAGAATCAGCCAATCAGACGGGACTCATTGTGTAAATAATGTATATAAAAGCCTGAGGTTTGGGGGAGCAATTCAATCACTGTTTTACAAGCTGCAATAAAGAGCATGAAATCACTACAGGACTCTGAGTATATTTCAGAAGGGCAATCTTTGAGAAGAAATCTTGGCTGCGCTAGAAGGCAAACTAGGACTTCATGCCTCTACTTGATGCAATCTCACCTAAGGCTCCCAGATGACTGCCCTGATGATGTTGCATTTCCTCGCCGGCAGAGAGTCCCTGTTTTGGCCAACTGTGTGCCATGATCCTAAGAGAGAGAGAGACCAGAAGGGAAAGAGGTATGTGAAAGAGAGAAAACAAGGCAGTGCTGCTTTTTCAGCAGAGGATTAACCTGTTGTCAGTCACCTTCTCCTTGGGCACTAACTTCAGCGGTAGCTGCAGATTCTGAACCACTTACAAGGACAGTCCCACATAAGGCATGTTAACAGTAGTCAAGGCCGCTTTAGGTTACCAACGCATGCAAAGGTGTAACAATTTGACAGCTGATGCTCGAGCGCTGCTGCAACATTCTAATCAACAGAGCTAAAGATTTAAGTCCGTTCTAAAAGCGTCTCTCCACTGAATTCGAAAAGTGCTCTCGCTGGAGCAAAAGTTCCTCAGGTGTGGAAACAGCCTCAGTTCGCTGCCTGTGTGTGAACTTTGCTCTGTTGGTGTACATAGGAAGTTGAATTATACTTAGTCAAACTGTTGATCCATCTAGCTCAGTAAAGGACTCCTGGACAGTTGAGTCCAGTCAAAGGCAACTATAGGGTTGCGGCGCTCATCTCGCTTTCAGGCTGAGGGAGCCAGCGTTTGTCCACAGACAGTTTTCCGGGTCACGTGGCCAGCATGACTAAACTGCTTCTGGCGCAATGGGACACCGTGACGGAAACCAGAGCGCATGGAAACACTGTTTACCTTCCTGCCGCAGCAGTACCTATTTATCTTCTTGCACTGGTTATAAATCTAGCGCTGGTTATAAATCATGGCTAGAAACTATCCCAAGCTGTTGTTTTGCTTCACATCTTGCTGCCCGCCATAAAGGTAAAGGAAAATGACACCTGGACAGTTAAGTCCAGTCAAAGGCGACTATGGGGTTGCGGTGCTCATCTCACTTTCAGGCCGAGGGAGCCAGCGTTTGTCCACTGACAGCTTTCCGGGTCATGTGGCCAGCATGGCTAACCCACTTCTGGCGCAACGGGACACCTTGATGGAAACCAGAGCTCACGGAAACACCATTTACCTTCCCGCTGCTGTGGTATCTATTTATCTACTTGCACTGGTGTGCTTTCGAACTGCTAGGTTGGCAGGAGCTGGGACTGAGCAACAGGAGCTCATTCTGTTGTGGGGATTCAAACCGCCCACCTTCTGATCAGCCAGCCCAAGAGGCTCAGGGGCGTAGACCACAGCACCTTCTCCTCAGTATTGTGCACCGACTGCCAGCAGTCAGCTCTCCAGATTGTCGGACAGGGATGCTCCCACCCATAACTGGAGATGCTGGGGATTGAACCCGAGACCTTCTGCCTGGGAAGCAGAGGCTCTCCCCCTGAGCTACAGCCCTCGCTTGCCCCATCCTGCAACCGAAGCTCACGCTCCAAGCCTACTTAGGCCTCTCGCTATCATCTGACATGTGAAATAAAAATGTTAAGGTCTTATATTTTAATAAATGTTCATAAAATGTACCAACCAAGCATGTGCATAGATATGTGGACCACATGTCTGGAGCAGCACAGGAAGACCGCCCTTGAACCATTTTGACTCCCAAACTGACCAAATGTTTTCTCTGCAAGGAGGGAGGGGATGAGGGAACCTTCCTATTGTCTCAGGAATTGGGTAATCACCATCTCAAAGAAAATGGCCAGACTACCAGGAAAGGCAATCAGATAAGGCATTATCAGATAACCTGGCAGGCAGGAAAAACAACAACATTCAAATTTCTGTTGTAGACCACCTTTTCTGTGATGTATGTATGATGTATGGAGGGGTGGTCTTGAGCTCCAGAGCAGGGAATTTAAAATGTCTATATAAGGGCAGGCACACCTGGGTTCTGTGTCCTCCGCCTTTTCTGCATGTGAGGCGAGCACCCTGTTGCAACAGTTCAATAAAGATCAGGCTTACTAGCTGCCTTGCTTCTCAATATTCTCTGGTTGGCCTCTGTTATTTTCTCCTACCGATGGAGAACCTACAACGGACTCTGTAAGGGCTCTTGTGTCCCCCATAAGCGAATAAGGGCAGATTTTGTTTATGACACATGTTTCTACCGGGCTTCTGCACCTGTTTTTAGAGAGAGGGAGGGCTTTTCCTTTCCAGTCTTCTGGACTTAGCATCAAAAAGCCAAGCTTGAAAGCCTCTCTTCCACAGGAGCGCACCTTTTCGTGAAACTGGGTCATGCGTCTTGGGGGGCCCCTCAGTCACTGAGCCAAATCTGCGTGCCAACAAAGGGCAGCAGCCAAAGTGGCGCAAGGCCCCTGCTGTGGCAGCAGCCCCAGCTGCAGAGAGAACGCCGCTGGGGAAGCAGACGCCAGTGTGGGAACCGAGAGCCCGGCAAATCTTTGCCTCATCAGTTTCAGGCCCTTGTGGTTGAGATCGGTCTCGATGGCTGGCCGCAGCTGACAGCACAATTCTCCTTTTTCTCTTCACGAGAGTGTGCCCAGCAGGGAAGGAAGAGAGAAGCGCTTAAATTTAACTCGCAGGCGTCCTTATGTAGCTCCGACTTCTCCGTTTGCTGCAGGCTGAATTCAGAATGGTATTATTGCTCCGGGGTGGTGTGGAGAGAAGTGTTTGAGACACGTGAAAGTGTGTGGGTGCTTTGTAATCCCCTTTCTTAAATTAAAGAAAGGTCCTTTATTTGGCAATACGGCATTTGGGTCATATCCCCACACCATACGGTTAAAGCAGTAGCGTACCACTTGAAACCATCATGGCTTCCCCCAAAGGATTCTGGGAAAGACAGTTCATTAAGGGTGCTGGGAGTTTTTAGGAGACCCTCCACAATTCCCAGCATTCTGTTTAGGGAAACTTTTAACGTTTGACGCACTATTGTATTTTAATATTTTGTTGGAAGCTGCCCAGAGTAGGTGGGGAAACCCAGCCAGATGGGCGGGGTATTATTATTATTATTATTATTATTATTATTATTATTAAGCCATAGCTCTTCAAGCAGGATAAGAGTACTTTGAATGTGTGCTGTGGATGTGACCTGTAATCCTCTTTAAAAAAAAGGGATCCCTTTCTTAAAATAAATAGCAGGTGGAAACTCCATTCTAAGACTCGGTTTCTCCTCCTTCAGAAGCTGCCATCTGCATATATATATATTCTTTTTTTAAAAATTTAATATTTTATTTTGAGCTTAAAAGTCACGTTTTGTCACTCAGCAATTATATCCAATTCTACCACATTTTTCAATATTTTCTCACCATCATGAGGGTTAGAAACTTGTGTTCAGGAAGTCGACGTCATGCAAAACTCACATGAGCCGTGAGTACAGTTACATTAATTAGGTCTCACTGAAAGTGATACTAGTTACTTGCGACTATTCTATCTGCCATTAATTTCGATATAACCTTTTGTGATTAAATTTATTTGGATTTGGGATGTTGCTTTGTTTTGTTTTGTTTTTTGACTACTAAAGATATTGCTGTCTGAGTGCTCTCTTCTAATCTTCTTTTTTTTTTTTAAGGAAGAAAGCAATTGCTTGGTGGTTCATCAAAATACGTACATTTTCCACAGAGGAAGTGCTTGGAGACTCACTGTCTGTTACTGAGTTTCGGTCTCTAGATAAGTCATCACATCTTCTGGGTTAGGCCACAGCACCTCTCGTTTTGAGTCCGAAGCAAACCACACACTGTGCAGCAAGTATTACCACAGCCAGACATATGAATAAAACTAATGATATATTAATTTGCTTGTTTGCTTCCTTCTGCCATTGATGCTGCTCAGTAATTCTAGTGGCGATGTGATCTCCCAGGGTGCCCATCTCTGTTGCTCAGAAATTCCCTGGCTCTGTGATAAGTCCAGAGAACAACAGCATTTTTTTCCCCCTTTTAGTTTTAGGGTTTTTTGCATTATGTTAACAGGAGTGATGGCACATATATTTTCTCCACATTTTGCCTCAGGATATACCAGCTGACCTATATGGCTGGTATGCGGACGCACGTGGCGCTGTGGTCTAAACCACTGAGCCTCTCTTGAGCTTGCCGATCAGAAGGCTGGCGGTTCGAATCCCCACAATGGAGTGAGCTCCCGTTGCTCTGTCCCAGCTCCTGCCAACCTAGCAGTTTGAAAGCACACCAGTGCAAGTAGATAAATAGATACTGCTACAGCGGGAAGGTAGACGGCGTTTCCATGCGCTCTGGTTTCCGCCACAGTGTTCTATTGTGCCAGAAGCGGCTTAGTCATGCTGGCCACATGACCCAGAAAGCTGTCTGTGGACAAGCACCGGCTCCCTTGGCCTGAAAGCAAGACGAGCGCCACAACCCCATAGTCGCCTTTGACTGGACTTAACCGTTCAGGGGTCCTTTCCCTTTACCTTTATGGTAGTCAGCAAGATGTGAAGCAAGACAATGGCTTGGGATAGTTTCTATCCATAATTTAGAACCAGCCCTGGATTTTGGTAGCTCATTATTTTAATTCTCAAGGTATTTACCGATAGATACTCTGGTGTTTAGTTATTCTAAATACACACACACACAGTGTTAAAGCCAGTGTGGTGTGGTAGCTTGTGTGTTGGTCTGGGACCTGGGAAACCAGGGTCCAATCCTCACGGACTGGGAGAGCCAGTCACTGCCTCTCAGGCTAGCCCACCTCACAGGGTTGTTGTGAGAATAAAATGATGAGCGGGTGGAACCACACACATGAGTTCCCTGGAATAAAGGCAGGATAGAAGTGTAATAACAATACAGCAACAACTGTCTTTATCAGATGTATGACCTGAAGTATGCAAAAGGATTTGGTTGTTTGTTGAATTTATATCCTGTCCTTCATCTCAAAGGAGCCATTTATATTCTCTCTGTCAAGACAGGATCTAGCCTGCCCAGTGCTCCTATCAATACGTGTGGCTCTCTCTCCCCACTCCTCAAACATTCCATAGCAGTACAAAATTCAGCACCATTTCCCCAGAAGATTCAACAGCATGTACTCCTTTTCTTCTCTGGATAAGGACCCTTTGGGTGGCGCTGTGAGTTAAACCACAGAGTCTAGGACTTGCCGATCAGAAGGTCGGTGGTTCAAATCCCTGCGATGGGGTGAGCTCCCGTTGCTCGGTCCCTGCTCCTGCCAACCTAGCAGTTCGAAAGCATGTCAAAGTGCAAGTAGATAAGTAGGTACTTCTCTGGCAGGAAGGTAAACTGCGTTTCCGTGTGCTGCTCTGGTTCACCAGAAGCGGCTTAGTCATGCTGGCCACATGACCCGGAAGCTGTACGCCGGCTCCCTCGGCCAATAAAGCGAGATGAGCGCCGCAACCCCAGAGTCAGCCACGGCTAGACCTAATGGTCAGGGGTCCCTTTACCTTATGGCTTGTCAGCATGGAAGATGACTACAGCTAGGGGAGCAAAGGAGGCCATGCCCAGCTCTTACCTTTATTCCGTGCCCAACATCGTCCAAACTGTTGAAGTTCAGCGGTTTCCTGTAATACGCCTCCAGGGGCTCCACGTGGCTTGGGGGGATGATTTTCTGTTGGTGCGGAAATCTCTTGCAAACAGAAAGAGCCCCGATCTCTCGGCGGGACACTTTCTCCATGTGCATCTCCACCACCTGAGGCAGAAAGACACGGTGAGAGAAGGAGGGCATAGGTGGGTCAGGAACCAATTGCAGGAGCTGGTGTAATTGTATTTCTAGTCAACACACAAACTGGCAGCACCCTACCATTTGGGGGGGGGGACAGGTGGCAAAGCCCACTCCCCAGGAAGCTGTTTTTGGCTTCTCCTCTCCCAAAATTGACTCCTCATTGGCCCTCTCTGCTGGTCACGGTATCCTGCATATTTGTGGTGTACATACCGGTAGTTCTGTCTGATCCCTGCCCTCTAATATCTGTCACCTGAGGCAACCGCCTCACTCTGTCTAATAGTACAGCCGGCTTCAGTCATCTGGGTTTTCTACCCTCAAGCACCAAAATATGGGCTTGGAGTGTGGGGGTTGCAGGTATATTCCCCAACATGTCACTGAGGCAGAAGTAATGCATTGTGGTGGATTTATAATGAGCCATCCACACTTCATTCTGCTTTATTAGCTGTTCTACGAAGGTTCGCCAACGTTATTGCATTATGGCCGTCTGGAGGGACACTCTCGGGCTACAATGCAACAAAAAAATACAACCGTGAATATTTGTGATATTAAAAAAATGCAGGATTACCGCAGGAAGCCAGAGGGCATGCACCAAATGGATACAAAGCAGTATATCCCCCCCCAAAAAAAAACACCTTTGCAGGTGCAGGCCATCTTGAAAGCAGGATCGCGTATGACCACCCCAATGGCTTCAGGAGCACAAATCTTATGGATGCATAAGAAAAAGGACATTTGGAGACTGTTTGCTGGTAATGCCGCACTAGAAGTACGGTACTGAATTCTTGATGGCCCCAAGAAGATATGGGGAAAGATTCAGAAGAGGAAGCCAGAGCGATAATGAGGGGAACACTGAACGAGGGACTTGTCCTGGCCAGAGCTTTGTAAATACTGCAGTTGCATGACTGCACAGCTGTGTACGTGGCCATATACTTAAAGCGAGGGAGGAGACTGAGAGTGGTGTGTGACAGCCATCTTCAAAAATCTCAAGGGCTCTCACATGGAAGATGGAGCAAACTTGTTTTCTCCTGCTCCGGAAGGTAGGGTTCGAACCAATGGATTCAAGTTTGCAAGGAATTATTATTCCTTTATTATTATTTGTTAATTTAGTTTGTATACCGCCATATGCCCACAGGTCTCAGGGCGGTTCACAGATTCCAACTAAACATCGGCCTTCCAGGTTGGCTGCTTTAGCTGAGATTCCTGCATTGCAGGGTATTGGGTTATATGACCCTCCAAACTCTACAATTCTACTCCCCTCCCCCCAAAGAATTCTGGAAACTGTAGTTTACACCAAACTACAGCTCCCAAGATTCTTAGGGGATAGCCGTGCACTTTAAATGTATGGGGTGTATGTCTGCAGCATACCACCAGGGCTGATGGTGGTAAGGAAGTACCCCCACCTCAATGGCACATTTATTCATTCATAAAGAGCGGCAAATAAATTCAGTTTGCATCTCCCAGCCCTTGGTCAGGTTCAGTTGGAAGTTCATTCCCACTGAGTTTGATTAGAGTTGTGAGCTTGCGACCACGGGTGCGAGCTGTAAACGAGGCTGCTTCCACTTCAAACTGGATCTCGGACATAAACTCATAAACCCTCTTGCTGCCTTGGCCTCCGCTCTTCCCCAAACAGCATATGGCACTTGGCAACGTGAAGATGGACAGTGTGCCTTGCTGTGAAGAAAAGCAGATGGAGATGTTGTTTAACAGGCAATTCCCAAGGTGTTTGCGTCAAAATATACTGCGCGAGCGAAAGCCGCGATAAAACTACACAGCAGTTATAAGTGGGCACAGCATTGCATTCCTTCCTAAAAGCCCCTTTTGCAGAACGGCTGTGTCTCCATGCTTGATTTCCAGCGACATTTCAGGGGACTTAAGGTGAGGCTTCAAACTAGTTCAGGGGCTGAGCCTTGGTTCAGATTAACCTTTTGCCCTAGTGAAGCAGGACATCCGATCTAAAGAAGGGTGGCTGTTGCCCGTTAATCTCTTCTTGGCATAAAGCGATGGGGAAAGATTCAGTAACCTCTTACAACAACATCCAGAGAGCTATTCATGAGTCTGTTGCAGAAGACAACAGCAGACAGGGCTCTTGCAGAAGACCTGTTTATCGAGCACCTGTCCTTATTTGCAGGGAAATCTGACGACATTGGCTATTTGATGAGCCTTCATTCCTATTTGTTTGCGGGAAGTTTGGATGATCATGAAGTCAAAGAGTGGGTTGTGCCAAACTTTCCACTGCATTTCACCATCCCTATCCTTATTGCCGGGATGCAGGTGGCGCTGTGGGTTAAACCACAGAGCCTAGGACTTGCCGATCAGAAGGTCAGCGGTTCAAATCCCCACGACGGGGTGAGCTCCCGTTGCTCAGTCCCAGCTCCTGCCAACCTAGCAGTTCGAAAGCACGTCGTAGTGCAAGTAGATAAATAGGTACCGCTCCAGCAAGAAGGTAAATGGCGGTTCCGTGCACTGCTCTGGTTCGCCAGAAGCGGCTTAGTCATGCTGGCCACATGACCCGGAAGCTGTACGCCAGCTCCCTTGGCCAATAAAGCGAGATGAGCGCCGCAACCCCAGAGTCGGTCACGACTGGACCTAATAGTCAGGGGTCCCTTTACCTTTACCTTTCCTTATTGCCGGAAGTCAGATATTTGGGGAGAGCAGGTTTGTTGTGGTCAATTGCACAACATGCAATTTGTTGGGATGTGATTGAGTCCCATCTGAAAACAGCAACAGCCTGAAAGCACCCAGAGGTCTTTAAGGCAGGTGAGGGGCAGAATGCAGATTGGAATCCCCTGGTAGATCTCTGGATTATCTTCGGTAGATCAGCAAGGGTTTCTGGCTCCCAGTTATTCAACAAGAAGGTTACTTTCCCCACCTTAATTAGGCTACTGAAATGAAGAAAGCTATCCAGCGGTAGACTTTTGTGTGAAAGGCTTGTGAGCCCAGTTGAGTTCGGGTGCTAAAAACAGTCTCCTAGCCTCACACAATTCCAAGGCACCTTGGACACTGGAAGCTGCCATAAATTGACTCACTGACTCATCAGTCCCGGACAGGGTTTTCTCCCATCCCTGCCAGGAATTGAACCTGAAACCTTCCTCATACCAAGCAGATGATCTACCACTGAGCTACAGCCCTTCCCTCATTATATCTGCTATCAGGGCCGGCCCACTCATGAGGCAAGGTGAGGCAAGTGCCTCAGGTGACAGGATTCACAGGGAACAATTCCACTGAAGAAGATAACCATGGTTACCCAGACCTAGTTGCTGGTAGCAAAGGACCCCCCCCCACCCTATAATGGTTCAAGCTTCAAGAACCCAAAAATGTAGGTCCACCACTGGTCTAAGTCATCTCCTTATGTTCCTCTGTCAACGATGAGATTTGAACCAGTGTTAATCAGCTCACAGCTCATCCCTCTTATTCTCTGTGTTATGCTAGAACACTCTGCCTCTCAAAAAGCTCACCCTCCCTTTCCTTGCATTGTTACACGGTATTTGGGGAGCCTATGCACCTCTTGTTCATCAGCACATAAAGGTGCATATGCTCAGAAGAAGCTCCCCCTCTGGACGAGAGAGACCTGCAGGCGCAGAGGTAGTAAATGCACGATTTTGGCACGATTTGTGTTCTAGGATCCAGCAGCAGGAAGTGCAGATTATTAAGGAGAAGGCAAACAGTTATCCCTTACCATTCCCCTCCACACCTCCCTCTTGTGCTGAGCTAAAAGTGGACTTCATCAAAGTGTTTGGAGATACCAAACCGGTGACACGACAGAGGTGATTAATCCATTCCACGGATGTTTCCTGATCCATTATGTTTTTATTCTCTGGGAAACAGGAAAGCCGTCAAGCAACAGGAAGAGGAATCCGATGTCCAAGAACATTGTGTATGCCTCCCTATATTCCAGTATGAAGGGAAGGCACAGGGAGGGGGAATCTGGTTTGTAGTCAGGGCTCAGGGGACAAGGCGGGTCTGTCTGCTTTGGGGCTTTTAAACAGTGACACTGCAAAGGAACACACCCAAAAGGCTGGGAAGCACAGAGCAACTCTGCATTGGTCAAGGGGCTGGAGCAACTCCCCTGTTACAAAACAGGTTACAAAATATTCCCCCATTGCAGAGGGTTGGACTGGATGACCCTCGTGTTCCCTTCCAGTTCTTCAATTCTATGGTGGAAAGAATTTGTTTCGAATGCGCTTTAGTGGAGCAGCGTGTGTACGATCCCCCAACTAAAACTGATTTAAGCAAAAAAATGCATCTCATCCCCCCAGGAAGCAGTTTAAGCAGCCAAAACAAAGGCAAAACAAAGCAGCCAGGGTCCCGATTCCAATCACAGAGGGCTACCAACTAGAAAAACAGGTTCCGGGGCAAATAAAGCCCTCCCAGTGCACCTTTCATGTTGTCTTCTCACCTGCGCAATGGAGCAGACTTTGGCTTCCACCTGCCGGACTTCAGCCAGCTGCAAGTCCATCGTTTTGAGGATATCGCTCGCCAGGTTGCTGATTTGGTAAGCCACGCTGGCTAATGACTGGGTTGCAAAAGCCATGGTTTCCTCGAGGGCTTTCCGCTTGTCCTTTGCCTAAGAGGTTTATGAAAACGGAGGGGGAAGAAGGGAGAACTCTGCCATAAATCAGAACAACTGAATCGTGTTTTTTAAATATTTTTTGTTCTGTGTATACTGCAATGTTCTTTTGTTGCTATGGCCGTTGGCTGATGCAAATAAAGTTTCATTCATTCAACATTCAACTGAATCATGCTCTAAGTGGCTACGATAGCTCTACCTGCTACACCCAGTATCGCATCCTGCACGGTCACAGCCACACTAGTAAAGGTAAAGGGACCCCTGACCATTAAGTCCAGTCGTGGCCGACTCTGGGGTTGCGGCGCTCATCTCACTTTACTGGCCGAGGGAGCCGTACAGCTTCCAGGTCATGTGACCAGCATGACTAAGCCACTTCTGGCGAACCAGAGCAGCGCACGGAAACACTGTTTACCTTCCCGCCGGAGCGGTTCCTATTTATCTACTTGCACTCTGACATGCTTTCGAACTGCTAGGTTGGCAGGAGCAGGGACTGAGCAACAGGAGCTCACCCCATCGCGGGGATTTGAACCTCCGACCTTCTGATCGGCAAGTCCTAGGCTCTGTGGTTTAACCCACAGCGCCACCCTCGTCCCTCACAGCCACACTACCCATGTACATAAAGTGCGTTTAAAGCTCTTCCAAAGAATCCTGAAAACGGTTGTTTGTTAAGGGCACTGGGAACTGTAGCTCTGGGAGGAGTAAACTGCAGTTCCCATCAGCGTGGAAGTGATCTTGTATATCTACGAACACAGGAAGCTGCCAAGACAGAGTCTCCTGGTCCATCGAGCTTATAGCTGAGTTGGTTAGAGCGTGGTGCTGATGATGCCAAGGTTGCAGGTTTGATCCCCAAATCAGACAGTGGCATATTCCTGCATTGCAGGGGGTTGGACTAGATGATCCTCAGGGTCCCTTCTAAGTCTATGATTCTATTACAATAATATGGATTTCATATACTGAACAGACAGCAGCTTCTCCAGGGTTTTAGCCAAGGTTCTTTCCCACCCCTGCCAGATGCCAGGAATTGAAGCTGGGAAGAAAGAAGAAAAGTTCAGGGATGTTTCTAAGTTGTGTGTCCTTGCTTCTCAGTTTGATCCTTTTACATGGCTTTGTACGTTTTGTGACATTTTATGCATTGTGACTTGCTGTTATTTTTTTATTATTATTATAGTTTAGTACATGGGTAGGCAAACTAAGGCCTGGGGGCTGGATCCGGCCCAATCAACTCCTAAATCCGGCCCACGGGCGGTTCAGGAATCAGCGTGTTTTTACATGAGTAGAATGTGTCCTTTTATTTAAAATGCATCTCTGGGTTATTTGTGGGGCATAGGAATTCGTTCATCCCCCCCCCAAAAAAAATATAGTCCGGCCCTCCACAAGGTCTGAGGGACAGTGGACCAGCCCCCTGCTGAAAAGGTTTGCTGACCCCTGGTTTAGTAATTCTTTATTGCAATTGATAAGTGTAAACTGTTTAAATTATTATTTGCTGATATTTAATTTTACTGTTTACTATTTATATTCTAATGGATTATTGAGTAGTGCTTTATTTGATATAAATTGTTTATTTTAAAGTTATTGTGACTTTTTGGTATTGGATTAGATTATTATGCTTGTCATCTTTGCTGTCTGTTTTGTTGCTTCTTCAGCTTGCAAACTGCCTTGTGCAAGGTTGCCGTATTCTGAAAAGCAAAAAAGAGGATGCTTTGATGGCCATTCAAAGCAAATACCATATTGGCCCGAATATAAGCCACACCCGTATATAAGCCGCACTTTAAAAATTCATGGGGGAGGGGGAGACAATACATGAATATAAGGTACTCCCTTAAAATTCCGCAGGCACTCACACCCGTTCCATTTTATCGTATGTCTGTTTCAGCAGCGATATCACAAAAGCCAATTTTTGTAAGGTCGCAAATTTAAGCCACACTTTAACTTTTCACGGTTAGAATTGGGGGGGGGGGTCAAGCTTTGTATTCAGGCCAATATGGTAAATACAATTTGTCTCCAATTTCACCCCCGAAAAGGAGGACGTGTCCTGGAAAAAGAGAACACATGGCAACCCCTTGTGTTTAGCAATATAGAAAGGCGATATGCAAATCAAAAGTGAACTGAAAGTGAAAACGAGCTGCAAGGAACCCCCACCCCAGTAAAAAGAACAATATGGACCTATTTTCAATGCCATCACATTACTGCTTTCTGTACGGACAGTGGTCTGAATGTCATGGTGGAACAAATCCGAGTGAATAGGCCTTGCTGTTTAAGAAACTGTCTGGATATAATAATATTCTGGCCAGAGCCGGATTTAGGTTTGATGAGGCCCCTAAGCTACTGAAGGTAATGGGGCCCTTTATATGTCTAGCTGTCCTTTGTCAACAACAAATTGCCGCTGTTTTTTGTGTTGAACATATGCTATGTGGTAATTTACAGACCTATTAGGTATCTAAAGCCATTTGCACATAACAAAATATGTATTTTATCAAAGTAATTGTTGAACTGAAATACAATTAAGAAGAAGTATATTAATAATGAAATACAATGTTTTAGGGGTTGTTTTTAAAAGTCTGGAACGGATTAATCCATTTTGTATTACTTTCAATGGGAAGGCGTGCCTTGGTTTTGGAACGCTTTGGTTTTGGAATGGACTTCCGGAACGGATTACGTTTGAGAACCAAGGTACCACTGTATATAGAAATGGGCAAACCAGTGACATTTTAGGGAGCAGGCTAGCAGGCGGGGCCCATTACTTACATCACAGGAACCTACACAACACACAAAAAATGTTGCTGTATGTAGGTTTTATTTGTTTCTTATCTTATATTTTGGAAATGTACATCCAGGTTTGTTTTTATCCTTTAATTATTTTTGGGGGGGCCCAAGAGAGTAGGGCGCTAAGCTATAGCTTGTATAGCTTATATGTAAATCCGGCACTGCTTCTGGCTAATTCCAGCGATGCTAGGTCAACATTCATTGCCTCTAAAGGCAGAGCAGGATGGTGGCATCTCTGCGTAAACTCAAGAGTTCTCCGAGCTGAATGGTCTCTCTCAGGGATAAGGCGCTCCTACCTTGCAGGAGGTAGACAGCATTTAAGATGTCTCTTAAAAAGTAGAGACATCACCTTGCCAACAAAGGTCTGTATAGTAAAAGCTATGGTTTTCCCAGCAGTGATGTATGGAAGTGAAAGCTGGACCATAAAGAAGGCTGATCACTGAAGAATTGATGCTTTTGAATTATGGTGCTGGAGGAAACTCTTGAGAGTCCCATGGACTGCAAGAAGATCAAACCTCTCAATTCTAAAGGAAATCAGCCCTGAGTGCTCACTGGAAGGACAGATCCTGAAGCTGAGGCTCCAATACTTTGGCCACCTCATGAGAAGAGAAGACTCCCTGGAAAAGACCCTGATGTTGGGAAAGATGGAGGGCACAAGGAGAAGGGGATGACAGAGGACGAGATGGTTGGATAGTGTTCTCGAAGCTACCAGCATGAGTTTGACCAAACTGTGGGAGGCAGTGGAAGACAGAAGTGCCTGGCGTGCTCTGTTCCAGGGGGTCACGAAGAGTCGGACACAACTAAATGACTAAACAACAACAACAACCTCGCAGGATCTTCACAGAGACTTCTGGGAGGGCAGGGCAGTGTGAGAGAACCCCAATTCTTCCAGCAGCCAACTCCCCTAAAGGGTGTTCTTCAACATCCATCCTCTGCAACATTGCCAGGAACTCCAGTGACCACACTGTGCATGGCTCTTAACACTGCAGTGCCAGCATGCCAAGCAACTCCTGAAACTTTGCTGCCCTGGGCAGCTTGCTAATAATAATAATAATAATAATAATAATAATAATAATAATAATAATAATTTTATTTATACCCCGTCCTTCCCGGTTCAAAAACCGGGCTCAGGGCGGCTAACAACAAATTTAAAAGACTTAATTATAAAAGCAGCATAAAATACAGTATAAGAACATGAACAACAATAAAATTAAAAAATCAATTTAGGGGAAATAAGCATTAGATAATCCCCAGGGCTAGCTGGCTGAATTGGTCCTACTTGGGCCAGCGAGGAGACCAGGGAAGAATTACCTGTGGGGTCTCAGAGCGGGTGATCTTCATAAAAGGGGAGGGGGAGAGAAGCGAAGGGAAATAAAAGATCAGGCTGAATTCCAGGAGGAATAGCTCTGTCTTACAGGCCCGACGGAAGGAGGTTAAATCCTGAAGGGCCCTAGTCTCATGGGACAGAGCATTCCACCAGGTCGGAGCCATCACTGAAAAGGCCCTGGCGGAGGATAGCCTGACTTCCTTAGGGCCCAGGACCTCTAAACTATGGTTGTTCATGGACCTTAAGGTCCTCTGCGGGGCATACCAGGAGAGGTGGTCCCGTAGATACGAGGGCCCTAAGCCACAAAGGGCTATAAAGGTCAAGACCAGCACCTTGAACCTGACCCTATACTCCACCGGGAGCCAGTGCCAAGTCTGCCCGCCTGGCAGGGCCAGCCCCTGAGGCAATGCCTTCTTGCCACTCACCTCCTCATAGTTGCTCTCGCAGTAATCTGCCACTTTGAGAAGGTTGCTGTAGTTGTCCTTCAGGGTTCCCCTGGCGCTGGGGATGGCGTTCTGCATCAGCTGCTGCAACTCAGACATATCGCGGCTCCCCACTTCCTTCTCTGAGCGCACGGTCTCAGCAGCAGACAGGTTTTGAACCTCGCGGCTGGGCTGGTGGACTCTTTTTGTACTTGAGTTGCCTCCCGTGGGCAGAGCTGATCCCTCCCCCTCAGCCTTCTGTCCCAGATGTCGTCTTGCTGACACCCTGAAATTTATTGCTGCCCTCGCCCAGAAAGCGTGCATGCGGATTCCTGTACGACACCCTCTCTGGCCTCCGCCTCTGTAAGCGCAGACACCTCCATTCTGCACAAGAGTCTTGAAAAACCGCTCGCATGCCCAGAACAAGGGTCATGAGAACTAACAGAGGAAATCTGGGGAGTAGCAGAGGCGGAGGACCTGTGAAGAGAGGAAACCATTATTTTTAGAACCATTTGCTTGGCTGATTGCAGAGATCTTGGGAGCAGAGGGTTGGCTTTTATTACTAATCAAGCTGTGGTGAAATGCCCTGGAATCTACTGAGGGTGGAATTAAATAACAACAACAACAAACAACAACAACAACAACAACAACAACAACAGTGGTACCTTGGTTCTCAAACAATCCGTTCCGGAAGACCATTCCAAAACCAAAGCGTTCCAAAACCAAGGCGCGCTTTCCCATAGAAAGTAATGCAAAACGGATTAATCTGTTCCACACTTTTAAAAACAACCCCCAAAACAGCAATTTAACATGAATTTTACTATCTAACGAGACCATTGATCCATAAAATGAAAGCAATACTATAAAATAAATAAGACAGTATTGTAGATTCTTACCAGCACTGATGATCGTCATTGTTTGGATGGGGGGCTTTTATCCATTTCCGCAGTCACACAATCAATCAATCAATCAATCAATCAATCAGTAACTGAACTAGGTTCCACACAGTCACAAAAACAAATTAACTGGAAAAGCCTCAAAAACAAAAACACAAAATACCGTAAATAGCAAAAACAAAAGTGCCCAAGTTAATCCGTTCCGGAAGTCCGTTTGGCTTCAGAAATGTTCAAAAACCAAGGCGCAGGTTCTGATTGGTGCAGGCACCCTGGAAACAATCGCCCTGGAAACATGGGGTGTTCAGCTTCTGAAAAATGTTCGAAAACCGGAATACTTACTTCCGGGTTTTCAGCGTTTGAGAACTAAGGCATTTGAGTACCAAGGAATTTGAGAACCAAGGTACCACTGTAGTAGTAGTAGTAGTAGTAGTAGTAGTAGTAGTAAGGCTTTTTTCCAGCTAGAACTCGCTGGAACTGTTTTGGCACCTCTCAGGTGGGTGCCATTGCCATTCTAAGAGAACGAAGGAGGTGTTCATGATGGGTTCAGGCATCTCTTTTTCTAGAAAAATAGCACTAATAATAATAATAATGTCTAGATTAGCTTTGGCAGGGACTGAGCTTCTGTTTTTGTTAAGTTGTAGGTGAACATATCAGACGACACAGCGATTCTTCAGACAGCTCTTGCTTATTCACAGGCCAGAACAGAACTGAACTGAAGGTTTCAGCCAGCCTGCTTATATAGAGCTCCACTACAACGCAACAGTAACCACTTTCTGTAACTATCCAATCACTGAACATCACTTTCAATCCCTTATTTGCATATGTGGACCTGAGTGAAAACTATCTACAGTATCCCCCCGCTGGCCCAGGGTGAGAACTTCAGTACATAACAGTTTTCATGGCACCTGAGATATTGCCTCTTCCCAAGTCACTTAAGAGCACATGTTTCTAGTCCTAATGAACATATATCAAGCCCACTGCTAGTAAAGGGAGTCAGAGGGCTTGGGTGAAGGAAAGAGGGAGTGGGGTAAATGATTGGTCCTTCAGGACTCTTGGTTGAGAAGACCTCTGGATTCACATATTTGATTCAGTACTACAATGAATCAGATCCACATCTGAGGTCCACTTCTCTTTCAACAAACACCAGGGCCTTTTCTGTAGTGGTGCCAAAATTATGAAACATCCACCCAGGGTAAATCTGCTAGGTTCCTTGTCTGATTTTTGCCGAGCACTTCTAAAGCAACCCCTAGTGCAGCTTTCCCTGGCATAGTACCCTTCAGATGTTTCTGGACTCCAAGTCCCATCATTCCTGACCATTGACCATGCTGGCTGGGGCTGATGGGAGTTGGAGTACAAACCATTTGGAGAGCCCCAGGTTGTGGCATGGCTGTCTTGGTGCCTCCCTTTCCCATATACTGTGGTCTGGATGAAAATAAGCAGAGCTGGCCCCTAGTAAATAATAATAATAATAATAATAATAATAATAATAATAATAATAATAATAATAATCCTGTCTGTTTGCTGACCACACAGTGAAAGCAACAGGTAGCTTGACCCTGAGGTCCAGACAGAACCTATTGCCCAGAGATTTGTACTGTACACTTACAGTTTCCACTGAGGAAGAAATCAGTGCTCAAATAGGAATTTATGTTCCGAGGGGGAGGGGAGCTGAGATATTCCGGATGTTAAATCCCTAATCAGTAGACCAAATGAAACAGAAGATTGCTGCAGCTGGGCTAGGGCAGTGTTTCCCAACCTTGGGCCTCCAGCTGTTTTTGAACTACAATTCCCATCATCCCTGACCACTGGTCTTGCTAGCTAGGGATGATGGGAGTTGTAGTCCAAAAACAGCTGGAGGCCCAAGGTTGGGAAACACTGGGCTAGGGCATGGAGAGAGAGAGAGAGAGAGAGAGAGAGAGAGAGAGAGAGAGAGAGAGAGCGCACACTGCCCTCTTGACATCTATCCAGCTCTGCTTGCGTTAAGCCTCTAAGTAACTCTGGAGGATAACTCATACAGGGATGCTGTGCCCACAAAAACAACTTGAATTTGACCTTGGGTGTTCATGAGCCAGTCTCTGAAGTTAATTTCTCCCCTCTCTTTCTGAGAGAAGTCTGGGGCTGATCCCTACCTGAAAGCTATTCCTCTGCACCTGCAGGCGCTACAGACATAAGTACCGTTTTGAGGGGACAGGGGACAGGCAGGTATGGGGGACTCCCTAGTCCTGAATGGGATAACTGTGCCCCTGAAGGACCAGGTGTGCAGCCTGGGAGTCATTTTGGACTCAGAGCTGTCCATGTCCTCTGTGTCCAGGGCAGCTGTCTACCAGCTCCATCTGGTACGCAGGCTGAGACCCTACCTGCCCGCGGACTGTCTTGCCAGAGTGGTGCATGCTCTGGTTATCTCCTGCTTGGACTACTGCAATTTGCTCTACGTGCGGCTACCTATGAAGTTGACCTGGAAACTACTGTACAACTAATCCAGAATGTAGCAGCTAGACTGGCCACATAACACTGGTCCTGAAAGACCTACATTGGTTCCCAGTATAATTCAAAGTGTTTGTGCTGACCTTTCAAGCTCTGGGGTTGTGGCGCTCATCTCACTTTACTGGCTGAGGGAGCCGGCGTTTGTCTGCAGACAGCTTCCGGGTCATGTGGCCAGCATGACTAAGTTGCTTCTGGCAAATCAGAACAGCGCACGGAAACGCCGTTTACCTTCCCACCGGAGGGGTATCTATTTCTCTACTTGCACTTCAATATGCTTTTGAACTGCTAGGTTGGCAGGAGCAGGGACCGAGCAACGGGAGCTCACCCCGTCGCGGGGATTCAAACCGCTGTACTTCTGAGTGGCAAACCCAGGAGGCTCTGTGGTTTAGATTTATGGAAGCTTTTAATGTCTGGTGTTTTATTGTGTTTTTAATATTTTGTTGGAAGCCGGCCAGAGTGGTTGGGAAACCCAGCCAGATGGGTGGGGTATAAATAATAAATTATTATTATTATTATTATTATTATTATTATTATTATTATTATTACTATTACTATTACTATTATTACTATTACCTCTTGATCCCAGCTGCATGGCGATGTGCCATAGTTATTTATTGGTGATGGGCAGGCATGGGCAAACTCAGCCCTCCAGATGTTTTAGGACTACATCTCCCATCATCCCTAGCTAACAGGACCAGTGGTCAGAGATGATGGGAATTGTAGTCTCAAAACATCTGGAGGGCCAAGTTTGCCTATGCCTGGTGATGGGCATGCAGTCTCGTTTTGCTCTAAGGTCACCTGTCCTACATCATTATGTATTGCAGGCTTGGCCCTTCAGAAGTTTTGGACAACTCTCCTCCCATCTAGCCAGCACACTTGTTCTGGCTGGGGCTGATGAGTGTTCCTGTTCAAAGCATCTGGAAGACACCAGGTTGGTGAGGCTGGCTTAGTCTCTCCCAGGTGGAGTTGGTCCTGGCAATGGAAACAGGTTTGGGGATTGAGTCAACAATGTTGTTGCACCTCTGACTCTCTAAAGCAGGGTTTCCCAAACTTGGGTCTCCAGCTGCTTTTTGACTACAGCTCCCATCATCCCTAGCTAGCAGGACCAGTGGTCAGGGATGATGGGAATTGTAGTCCAAAAAAACAGGTGGCATCCAGGTTTGGGAAACTCTGCTCTATAGTAAATGGGTGGCAGCCAAAACATAGTGGTCCATGAATGGTTATAGAGACCTTGGGGATTCAGAGTTAGGGATTCCCAAGGTCTGATTTTGCAATATTTTAATGTTTGTCTGCAGATAGATCTATTGATCTGCTTTCCCCCCCAAATGTGCCATCTGTTGTCTCCTCCCCCCCCTCTTCCCCTTACCCCGAGTTTGAGGTTAAGTCAAAACACCTGACCAGTTTTAACTTGCTGAGTCTATTATCAGATTAAGGACAGGAGACAATCAGTTCCAAAGCAAGTCACCACCTAATACCGAAGACGTCTTCGAGCCGACAAGTGGACACGGCAGAGGACACCATCTCACCAGCGCAGGCAAATGTATCTCTAAAACACAGTGGAGCTTTGGAGGGGGGAACACATCAAAAGAGGTAGGTGTTCTCTCCTTGAACAGACCGGGATTGTTTTGTGATGGGAAAACAAAATTGCTGTAGGTCACCTTACCCAGTGCTTTTTTTCCTGGGGGGACGCATCCCCGTAAACATTTTGTGAATCTTCGTCCATTTGTCCATTTACTGTATTTATTTTTCCTGATTTGAACTATAAAATGGTGATTTTCTTGAGTCAAAACGAGAGTGCCCCTAAACATTTTTTTAAAGAAAAAAAGCACTGACCTTACCTATGGAGTTGGAAGAAGTTTGCATTAAGGGTATTTGGGGTAGCAGTTTTATACGTCAAATCCACCTGCTGCAACCTGCATGCAGATACAGGTTCCTACGGTCTGATTTTGGATGTGGAGAAAGACAATGGCTTGATGGTTTTAAAGAGATATGGAAGCAATGTGACAGAAAGATTAGTGCCACTGGTATGCATGCCCACAGACGCACATGCACACACGCATTGATGGGAGGAGTGCCTATTAAAAAAGCCACAATGCCCCGATGATGATGATGATGATTTTATTATTTATATGCTGCGCATCTGACTTTTTTTTTGTAAAGTAAAAAGCCTTCCCAACATGGCACAGAACATACAACAATATGCTTTACATTCAGTAATGTACATCAGCGCTGTAGATGGGGTTGAAACTGAGTTATTTGCATTTTCTTTATTTATGTACTTATTGCCCTGGAATATAGATTCCCCAGGCAACAAATAACAGCTTGATTTCTTAAAAGAAAACGAAAAAAACCCCTGTAAAATATTTAACAGTGATCCCAAGGCACACCAGAAACCAAGGCAACACAAAATAATCGACCACTCAATTCATACATCAGAGAAGCTTCATAAACTGCTCAAAAAATTAGAAAACAAGCAGCCACTAAAATGGCAGGGGCAAGACTAAAAAATGATGGTAGGTGATACCAAGAAAGAGTAGCTTTTTAAAAGTTATTTTAAAACTAAGCAAAAAAACCGCACAAATCTTTGTCATGTAAAAAAGACATTAATTTGGCGACAGGCAAACCTATGAAATCTTGTGTTCCACATCCTTGCCATAGCTAGGCATATGAAGGCCTTAGGGGTGGTGGTGGGGAAATTGGAGGTTTTTTCTTGTTATCCCTATGTCTTATTTGTTACCAAAAAAATTGGCCAGAGACCTGCGTTTCTCCTCCCTAAATTTCTGAAGTTTTTCCAGGCCTTCACTTCTCTAGCCATAGCTATGCTTTGGGATTAGGGGTGGCTGAGTGAGGCAGAGAGCCGATTTGACAGAAATGTTTCCACAAGCCTCTGTAAATTCATGGAAGTATAAAATGAGCCTGGGATTGGAAGTTCAGCCCTTGCCCTCATCCCCACCACCACCAACAGAGCCAGCGTGGTGTAATGGTTAAGAGCAGTAGACTCGTAATATGGTGAATTGGGTTCGCATACCCGCTCCTCCACATGCAGTTGCTGGGTGATCTTGGACTAGTCACACTTTTCTGAAGTCTCTCAGCTCCACTCACCTCACAGGGTGTTTGTTGTGGGGGAGGAAGAGAAAGGAGAATGTTAGCCGCTTTGAGACTCTTTCGGGTAGTGATAAAGCAGGATATCAAATCCAAACTCTTATATATATATATATATATATGCTTTCGTAGATTTTCACGGGTACAGGAATGCAGGTTTTGGTGTTCTCGGGTGTCTTCCCGTGTAAAAGTTGGGGTGTCTAGGCGACGTTTCGACGAGATCTCACTCGTCATCTTCAGGCTGGTGTTTTCGGCTTCTTGTTACTGGAACAGAGCTCCAACTTTTACACGGGAAGACACCCGAGAACACCAAAACCTGCATATATATATATATATATATATATATATATATATATATATATATTATGGAATGCTTTCCTTCAGGCACTTCTTTTTTGGCAAATCTACACCATACATTTAAAGCAGTACTTCAGCCGTCATGGCTTCCTGCAAAGGATTCTGGGAACTGTCGCTTATTAAGGGTCCTGAAAGTTCTTAGGAGACCCTGCTCACAGAGTGACAATTCCGAATGTCCTTAGCCAACTACAGCTTCCAGGATTCTCTGGGTGAAGCCATGACTGCTAATGCAGTACACGAGCGCTTTAAATTTATAGTGTGGATGTCACTCCCAGGGTCAGGCTAAAAACACTCTGCACTAGGCAGCATAAGAAGTTCTCCTGTCAATAGGTCCAGCTGCATAGCCTCCAACATTTCTCCAATGAAAGTAGGGGTGTCCTATTCAGCAGCAACAACAATTTTATTATTTATACCTCACCCATCTGGCTGGGTTGCCCCAGCCACTCTGGGCGGCTTCCAACATATGTAAAAACATCATAAAACATTCTAAAAACTTCCCTATACAGGGCTGTCTTTAGATGTCTTCTAAAGCAGTGTTTCCCAACCACTGTTCCGCGGCACACTAGTGTGCCGCGAGATGTTGCCTGGTGTGCCACGGGAAAAATTAAAAAATTGAAAGATTTTTTTTTTTAAAGTCAAATTTTCGATTGGGGCGCCGTCACTAGATGACCCCTGGGGTTCCCTCCCTCCCTCCCACTCTGCGCCTCCCTCCTCCTCCTCCGGGGAGGCCCTTCCTGGCTCTCGGCCAAGGCTTGGCGGCTGCCACTCACTCACTCGCTCGCCCACCCGTCCCTCCATCCCTGCACCCGGCCTCTCCCCCCCGTCCCTGGCGCGGGGGCTGCCGGGATCCGTAGTCCCCTCACCCTTGGGCTCCGCGCCCGCGCGGGGTGCGCAAACTACGTTTCCCAGCGTGGCCTGGCGGGCGGGCGTTTTGTTTGAAGCGCTCTTCTCCCGGCCATGGAATGAGCGCAGCGGCGGCCGGGCAGGCAGGGGCTCTTCCGCGCAGACCCCGCGCAGCCTGCCTGCGCCCCCCGGAGATCGGGCGGCAGGATGGAGCCCGGGGATCCCCGCGGAGGCGGAGCGGCGGAGGCGGAGGCTGCCCCCCAGGTAGGGCTGCGTCAGGGGTTTTTTATTTTTGCAATGCTGCATCCGCGCCGGAGGGGACGCATCGGACCGCAGGGAGACCCCTTGGCGTGCGTGCAAGGCAATGCATGCGTGCAGGCGTTGCATGGAGTGCAGTGCAATGCAATGGCAACGCGGCGCCCTGCATGCATGCATGCAACTTCCACCGGCGCTCTGGACTTGGCAGGTGAGGGGGGTCCCCAGTGGGCGGCAGAGAGAGCCGGGAGGGCGAAGGGGAGCCGGGGGGGGAGCAGCGCTGCTCCCTGAGCCGAGCCCGGGGAAAACTTCGGCATTGTTGCGCCGGGTGTTGGAAGCGGAGGCTGGCGGGGGCCCCTCACCTGCAAAACCTGCTCGCCTCTCATATATTTCGTGCATTGCATTCATCGCCCGCTTTCTCCTCCAAGGAGCTCCCGGGGGCGCGCGTGGTTCTCCCCGTGTTATCCTCGCAACAACAGCCCTGCGAGGTGGGTCAGGCGAGTGGCCCAAGGGAGCACCCAGGGATTGTCCTGGCCAGGTGGGGTGATTTGAACCCTGCTCTCTGCCCGGTCTTTGTCCTCATTTAGCCCCCACATGTGCATGACTGTGCATGACTGAGGTTTTCCCCCCTCGTCTTGGCTATGGTGTGAGTCTGTGCTGTTAATTAATGGGGTTCTGCCTTCGGAGAAGATGAGCCAGCTCTCAAGGAGGTGATTATGTAATTTGCTAGCAATTCATGTCCCTCCCGGCGTGACGCTGCGCGCTGACGTCACGGGGCTGTAATGGTGGTGTGCCTCGAGATTTTTTTCATGAAACAAGTGTGCCTTTGCCCAAAAAAGGTTGGGAAACACTGTTCTAAAGGTTGTCTAGTCACTTATCTCCTTGGCTCAGGGGGGTTGCATAACTCCTACCCTCCAACATTTTTCCGATGAAAATAGGTAAAGCAGGACATTCCGGGATCAAATCAGAATCCTGGAGAGTGTCTGTAAATCCGCAACTGTCCCTGGAAAATAGGGACACTTGGAGGGTCTGGCTGTGCAATTTTAGACTCTGGACTTGGCGGTCTTGCTGGGGCCTCTCTTTAGATAGCAAGTGTCTTGCTTCATTTACAGCAAAATTTTGGTCCTTCCTGAACATTCTGCTGACTGGGGCCTTGTATTATAGCTCTGTAGTTCTGCCCTGATGCTGTCAGTGGCTGGGTTCATGACAAAACTCTGGTTGAGCGAAGGGGAAAGAGAAAATGAGGAATTGTTTTGACCTCGAAATGCTTTTAGGGTGGGGCTCTGTTTCACTTACGGTCAAAAAACACCCCAAACGCCATACAACTTAGGAAATCATGTTCTGCAAACTGGTTTTGAACAGCTTTGGAAAGACACACATTGGGCGACATGTCAAGTACGATTAATATGATCTTTCCAAATCAGTTCCATCTATTGTATTAGATGGGAACTGTATTGGCATTGGCACAAGCAGTGCTGGTTTATCTGAACAGAGCTGTGCAGATTGGATTAAGTATTTTGGCCCAATGGCAAAACAGTACAAGAGTAGAGGAAAGGAGGCATGGTGCCCATGACAAATTGTAGGGAAAGGGGAAAGCCTATGGGGCAGGAGAGTTGGGATTGGTTCTTACAATGTCTACAGAAGAAGACAACTAAAAATATTCCTTTCTGTACCTTCTAACCAATGGATGGGCATTCCTCCACCCATTCATCCCTGTTGGTTGTCTTAAAATATAATACCATGTCAACTATGAAAATGAATGTATTACCAAAAATGTTATTTTTGTTTCAAACAATTCTGGTGATCAGCAAGATAGATTGTTTCAATGTATGGCAAAAATATATTTCTAAATATATCTGGCAAGGAAAAAAACCCAAGAATAAAATATAAAAACTGATAGATGCAAAAGAGAGAGGAGGTTTCTCCCTGCCGGATATGAGATTATATTATGAAGCATCCTGTCTTTGTTGGTTGAAGGAATGGATGACATTGGAGAATCCACATATCTTAGATCTAGAAGGTCATGGTCATAT